GGACGATGGTACACGGTAGTCCTTAAAGAAAAATTAAGAAAATATGGACTGAAGTTCAAAGAAGTAAAATCAACAACCCGCTGATAACTTCTACGCCACAATAAGTCTCGTACTTATAAATTCTTATCAAGTAAATTGTTATTTGCCCTTAAAAAAATGAAATCAGCTGTGAAATGTACATTGAATTAAGTTAGTGTCCGGACACCTTTAGGAATTTGATATTAGTATAAATTTTAAGATGTATAAATCTACCGGCCTTCGATCACAAATCTGATTGTCTATGTACAGTGCTAGTGCTATGCTGGTAATGCTGTACACTATCAATTCCGTGATGGACAGTGAGTGAAGTGACTGAGTAGCCAGACAGTGTTCGGTTGTAACCTGTTTATACCACCACTGAATAAAACCGTTAGCCTGTCAAGTTGTTAAGCTTTGAACGACTAGGGGATTTACATTTGACTATTTTAGGGAAATTTGTACCAGATCTTTGTTTACTCGCATGCAATCTCGCTCGTTTTTTGTTTTTGTTTTTGTATTTTTTTGAAGTATTTGAGTCTTTATATTCTTTGTCATAGCATCTGGGTATGCAGACATATAAAAGCAATAAGATCCTCTCTGAGTGGCTCAACAACATTGTCCGCGGTAGGCTGGTGTATCAAATGAGCGCCGCACTGGAGTCGCAAAAACAAAATGATAAACGCGGTGGTGCCTAATTTGGTAAAATCGATATCAATATGAATTTGGATCCACACGGAGGGTCCAAAGGTCGATTTTTAAAAATGTGATGCTAGATCTTTCAGCTGTTGTTCAGATGTATGTATTTTTACATCATTAACGTGGTAGAATGCAAGCGTCTGTAAGAACAGGGTAATAACCGCTAACAAGACGTGAGACGAGAAAAGACGTAAAAACAGTGTAGGGGTCTCGACCTGGAGAAATGTTCACGCTGGGGAAACCTTCGACAATGCCAGATTCAGACTTGACGTCAGTTCTCACCTCTGCTGATTGTTCGAATTCAGAGGTTTTTGTCCACGTTGGGCTTCAATAGAAAATTCTGTCGGTGAATTCTCCATGGTACCAAACAATTCTCATGAGTACTCTCAGTAATATGCCCAAAGGTAGGTAATCACGATTTTGGCAATTTAACTCCGACTCCAAATTAGGTTTAGATATGCGCTTATCACTTTCTGTTTCACGCGTGTATCTTGTGGTATTCAAATCCGTCAGCTCATAAATGATATCAAATGTGCAAGTGCATCAGCTGACTGTGTATGTTTATGCCAAAGTGCAACAGTGATTAATATCAGGATATTTGACTTAAGGCCACTTCCTACTTTTCTCCATAACTTCATTATGTCTGGATCTTCACTTCCCACACATTTCATAAGGATATTAGAAATGATTTTACGATTTTATACGTACGTGATCCCATCCTTTAAAATAGATAGTATACGATCTTAGCAATCTCCAAACCAATTACATGCCTGTCCTTGGTTCTAAAATACCTTTCTTGGTCCTCTATGCGAAGAACGAGGTGGCCGCCAAAATCGTCCGAATTTATATGCCGATATTTGTGGGTTATCTCCGGGAGGACTCCCGTATAAAAGTGAAGGGGCTGCTCGTCGGAAAATTAATTTATTATTTAAACCCCCAAGGGAGGCCAATGTGGGTGTGGCTCAAGCTTAAACTAACCCCTAAAGGATATTTCTCTTAGGTCAGCGTTACGGCTTTTTTTTTTTTTTTTTTTTTTTTTAAAATTTTTTTTTTCACAGCCTTAAGCGATACCTGAATGAGCATATTTAGGTACTTTCCGTCCCAAACAACCGAAGTGAGACCAAAATCTGCAAACGACGAGCACCCACCTCACTTTTGTATGGGAGTCCTCTTGGGGAAGCAGATCACTATCTGTTCCACTTGATTTTTCCATCTTTTGAGAGTATTGGCTCTGCTTCACTTAGTTCAGACTTCGATGGATGACAGGTTTCATGGTGAGAAGTAATGGTGGCTATACAAAAGTACCCTTAGACTCCAGACTGTCTCATGTAGCATGAAAACAAAAGCTGACCACTGTTAATAGGAAGAAACAGTCAGTAAATGGAAGAAACCTTCTAATTGAAATTTCATTAACAAAGTCTTCAAATGTGGGATCCTGATCAGTGGAAGGTAAAAAAGGGAAAAATAGTGATTCGCCGTTCACAGTCCACTACTATCGCCCCATGTTAGCGAATACAAGACAGTCTTGGATTCTTGATCCCATTCCATGGATTCAGGATTCCGGGTGCTGGATTCCAGTCTTTTCCAGTGGAACTTCGATTCTAGATTTCATTCCTTAGTAGGGACTATTCTGGATTCCAAAGCCCTGGATTGCGGATTCCATATCAAATTTTCCCGGATTCCGGATCCTACGAGCAAAAATTTTCCAGATTCCGGAATCCGGATACCCTTATATACGTGGAGCGAAGTACTAGTCAAAATTTGTTCTGACCTGTTCACGCATATTTAATTAAGCAGTGGGAAATTTACTTTTCTTCTAACGTTCGATTTTAAAATACGATGGATCGGAGGAACTTTTGGTCAATGCAACTTTTTCAGACTGGACCACATTTTAAGCTAGAAGAGGTTTGGTTGTGAAAAGGTATTTCTCCGTCTTGACGTAACAGACTTAACACGAATGTTCGGGGCAGTGGGAATATTAAATGAAGCTTGGAAAGGTATCTTTTACCTGCTGAACTTATTTTTGAACAATATATATCATTGGCAAAGCGAAAAAGAGAATTCTAATATAGTTTTGGTGGGAACATGAGGCATATCTTACTTAAAAGTGGCAAGTATTTGAATAACTGAGGATTTTGTTGTGACAGCAGCCGGTATCGTCACGCAACGCAAATTGAACATTTGCCTAAATTTGAGTTGAAAACTTCAATTCTCAATCGCGTTGTGCCACAAGTTTTATTGCATAACTTGACAAAATAGCTATTAATCTTTACCTAAAACATGTTTTTAGGTCTAGTTTAGGTGCCACTTTTGAAAATTTTCTGATGATTTTGAGGCATTTTTTCGTGCAGTTTGCTTTCTTAATTGGATTAGCGAAATAAAGACGACCAGTTTTTGCTGATTACAGAAAGATAATGCCTAAACGGTATTGGAACAGTAAGAAGAAGTAATATGCTTCCAAATGAGTGCAATAGTCTAGGATTTGGTGACCCGAAGAACTTTGGAACGATCGTTGAAAAACCTGTATAACAGAGACTAAAATTTGCATATTTTAGCCGCTAACGGTCGCCTAGCAATGAAATGGTGGGAATGGCAGTAAAATAAACAATTTGCTCATTCTAACTGCAATTTCGTTATTAGGATGGAGAGTAGTGTTGATGGTAATATTATAACGCAAAAGTTTTTTCGAGTCCAAAATCGAGTGGAACGCTTTTAGGGAGACTGCCTCTTAATAATTGAATAATTCTTTTGGATTCCATGCCCTTTTGTCATAGACATAAAGGTAGTTATTGCGGGCAAGCAAAGAAAAAATGTTACTTCAATGAAAAATTCGTAGGCCCAAGAGACAAGACTCAACCACTGGATCAAATAGATGAATGGATAAAAAATATATATATATATATATATTGCTTAGTTAAAGCCTCTGCTCGTAAGAAAGCACAGAAATGTTGTGAAAAAAAAAAAAAACAACTGCCACATAACAGGAAATATCTTGGAGCACAATGTTTGCTTTAGATCTTTCCCTTTTTTTAGATCTATTTAGAATAATGCGGAGATCATCCAGCCTAGAAATTGTGTAACAGGTTATGTGCATGAAGGTATGGTAAATAGAGGCACTTGCTCTTTAAACAAGGCGCTGTGGGAGCGTGTATTGGGGCGTGGTTGTAATACCGCGAACAGTGTGTCCCTTTGTAAGTTTAACCCTCGATGACATACTTTAACAATACGTTCCTCGAAACACCGACGCCAAATTACTTACTGCTGTTTTGAAACATTTCGGATCAAATGATATCAATGGATTACTACAATCCTTGAAGCGTGACGAATTCTGTACGTAGTTTCACACTTCAACCTGTCCGTTTTGGCTAATGAAACGTAGTCGGTTAATCTCTGTCATGAAAATGACAAAGTTTTTGGCGCCGTGCGAACGTGTTTTGATCACGTGCTGTCTAAGTTTTCAAGTTTTTCGTGGGAGCGTATTCTATTTTTAGAGTCTGCATGTGTCAATATGGCGATGCAAATTCAAGTTCAAATTGGAGATGCTAGAAGAGTTTTTTTATGAATCCGCCTGGGAGTGTTGAGAATTTTAAAAAAAAATACGTTTTGCGTGAGATTCCAAAGACACGTATGGATTCTGGTTTACTTAACGAAAACGATAAAGGAGAATATGTAGTGTTGAAGGACGTTCGCATGGCAGACATTCGCTTCGCTTGTTTACTTGCTTGTTTAAGTTAGCACGTATTGCTTGCCTATTGCACTTTTGCGTCAAAACAAGCCGTTTCGATTACTCTATTTGGGCCACGCCCAAATAAAAAGAATTCTTGAAATACTTCCAATTTTAAAAAATTCTCTCGACCTAGTAAATCTAAAGAAAGATCATGTTATCATCATCAGTATGCCGGAGTCCAGTTAGGTTCTAACCTTTTTGTCAAAGAAATCGTCAACAAAAAATTTCGATTAATCCAAACCATGAACTAAGCCTTCCACTAATTAAGTAAGAAATTTTTTTGCGAAATGAAATATTTGTCTGAGAAAAATTTGCTTTCGATTTTGTTCAGAACAAGACAAGCTGTTTCCCGCGCGATTAAGTCGAAAACTATTACGGTTATCTATTCTTTGCTCTTCACAAAACCCCGGGTCAGCCGAGCCTCGAGATTACCGATATCTTGCCTCACCATCAATATGTTCATGTAAACAGGCAGGCTAGCCTAGATTTTTCAAGCTCGCTACTTGAGCTGGACATTTTTTTTTCATACAAACGTCTTTTTACCGCAATTTCTTTGCAGAAAACTGGTACCAAGGGTAAGGCGACATACAAAACAGAAAGATGGCGGGAAGATAAGGCTTATGGCAACCTTGGCAACGCCTATCACAGTCTGGGAGATTTTAAAACAGCCATAGACTACCATGAACGCCAGCTGAAAATTGCGACAGAACTGGGTGATAAAGCTGGGGAAGGAAATGCGTATGGCAATCTTGGCAACGCCCATGACAGTCTGGGAGATTTTAAAACAGCCATAAACTACCATGAACGCTACCTGAAAATTGCGAGAGAACTGGGTGATAAATCTGAGGAAGGAAAGGCGTATGGTAGTCTTGGCAACGCCCATCACAGTCTGGGAGATTTTAAAACAGCCATAGACTACCATGAACGCCACCTGAAAATTACGAAAGAACTGGGTGATAAATCTTTGGAAGGAAAGGCGTATGTCAATCTTGGCAACGCCCATCACAGTCTGGGAAATTTTAAATCAGCCATAGACTGCCATGAACGCCACCTGAAAATTACGAAAGAACTGGCTGATAAATCTGAGGAAGGAAAGGCGTATAACAATCTTGGCAAGGACCATCACAGTCTGAGAGATTTTAAAAAAGCCATAGACTACCATGAACTCCACCTGAAAATTGCGAGAGAAGAGGGTCATAAATCTGAGGAAGGAAAGGCGTATCACAATCTTGGCATCGCCCATGGCATTCTGGGAGATTTAAAAACAGCCATAGACTACCATGAACGCCAGCTGAAAATTGCGACAGAACTGGGTGATAAATCTTTGGTAGGAGAGGCGTATGGCAATCTTGGCCCCGCCCATCGCAGTCTGGGAGATTTTAAAACAGCCATAGACTACCATGAACGTTACTTGAAAATTGCGAGAGAACTGGGTGATAAATCTCTGGAAGGAGAGGCGTATGGCAATCTTGGCAACACCCATGACAGTCTAGGAGATTTTAAATCAGCAATAGACTACCATGAACGCGACCTGAAAATAGCGAGAGAACTGGGTGATAAATCTGAGGAAGGAAAGGCGTATGGTAATCTTGGCAACGCCTATCACTGTCTGGGAGATTTCAAAACAGCCTTACACTACCATAAACGCCACCTGAAAATTTCGCAAGAACTGGGTAATAGAATTCAGGAAGGAGCTGCGTATGGCAATCTTGGCAACGCCCATCACAGTGTGGGAAATTTTGAAAAAGCCATAGACTACCATGAACGCCACCTAAAAATGGCGAGAGAACTGGGTGATAAATCTGGGAAAGGAAGGGCGTATGCCAATCTTGGCAACGCCTATCACCGTCTGGGAGATTTCAAAACAGCCTTACACTACTATAAACGCAAACTGAAAATTGCGCAAAAACTGGGTAGTAGAATTCAGGAAGGATGTGCGTATGGCAATCTTGGCAACGCCTATCACACTCTGGAAGATCTTAAAACAGCCATAGACTGCCATGAACGCCACCTGAAAATTTCGAGAGAACTTGGAGCTAGATCTGAGGAAGGAGCTGCGTGTGGCAGTCTTGGCAACGACTATCACAGTCTGGGAGATTTTAAAACCGCCATAGACTACTATGAAAGCTTCCTGAAAATTGCGAGAGAACTGGATGAAAGATCTCGGGAAGGAAAGGCGTATGGCTGTCTCGGCACCGCCCATCGTAGTCTGGGAGATTTTAAAACAGCCATAGACTACCATGAACGCCACCTGAAAATTGCGAAAGAATTGAATGACAAATTTGATGAGGGATTAGCGTGTATTAACCTCGGTTCTGATTTTCGTTGTTTAGACCAAGTTCCAATGGCCATTGAATATTACCAGCTCGGTATTACTTTGTTAAATGACATCAGAGATCGTCCCCAATTGAACGACGAGTTGAAAATAAGCTTACGTGATCAATACCGAAGAGTATACACCGCACTGTGGCGCTTGATGTTAGCAGATGACAAGGTTACGGAGGCTTTGCTTTCCGCCGAACAAGGACGAGCACAGGGTCTAAGAGACCTTATGGCATCAAATTATGACGTGAATGATTTTCAATCAGTAAAAGAAAACGGAACCTTTCGTGGGCTGTTTAGTTCTTTTGCTCTGAATACACTATTTATGGCGATTGGAGGTAATGAAATAATTTTTTGGGTTTGTCAAAAAGGAAAGGAGGTTGAATTAAGACGAAAAAAAAACAGTTCGCAAGATGAAATCAACATTTTCTTACAGTCTCTTGTGGAGACAATTGGTGTACGTGATAATGTGGAGTGTGAAGATCGCTCACTTGAATTGGCTAGGGATGCAAGGTTGGCAGTTAAAAGACCACCTCAAGATGACAGACAAACCCAGTGCTTACATCTTCAAGAAAGAGCCCTTCGTACTTTGTACGACACTATCATTGATCCTATTCAGGATCTATTATCAGGCAGTGAACTCGTATTCATTCCAGAAGGTCCACTTTGCTTAGCTCCTTTTGCTGCATTCAAGAGTCCAGATTCTAAGGACCTTTGCGAATCATTCAGAATACGTGTAGCTCCATCCCTTACCTGTTTGAAAATGATCTGGGATTGTCCGGAAAATTATCACCGTAAGTCAGGCGTACTTCTTGTGGGTGATCCCTGGGTGCAAGATGTGACAAATCTAGGGCCACTACACTGCGCAAGAGAGGAAGTGAATATGATTGGTAAAATGGTTGGCTCTACACCTCTTGTTGGAATACAGGCCACGAAGGATGAGGTGTTAAGACGACTCGGTTCAGTTGCTTTGGTTCACATCGCTGCACATGGCGAAATGAAAACGGGCGAAATTGCCTTGGCGCCAAAACGTGGTGAGAAAGATTTCATTTTGACGATGAAAGATGTAAAGAGCGCTAAGATTCGAGCAAGATTGGTCGTACTCAGTTGCTGTCATAGCGCTCGTGGCCAGATCAAAGCAGAGGGAGTAGTCGGCATAGCACGGGCATTTTTAGGTGCTGGTGCTCGTTCTGTTCTGGTATCATTGTGGGCGATTGACGACAAGGCCACTCTTGAGTTTATGAAAAAATTCTATCAGCATCTTGTGGAAGGAAAAAGCGCAAGTGAAGCCCTTAACCGGGCAATGAACTGCATGAGACAATCCAGAGAATTTACTCACTGGGCACCTTTTGTACTCATTGGTGATGACGTCACATTGGAGTTTGATGGGAGCAAATAGACCACTCACAATGTCGAGGTACGAGTGTGTTTTTTTCTTTTTTGTCTGGTCGTAAGGTGCCATAAGCTATTTTAATTTTTTAAATTAGCTGTTCTTTCTTTCACTTTTAAACTTAAAGACAATAAGATTTCATTCGCACAAACGTTACCGGCCAGATTACAGAACACGGACGCAAACAAGACTTACTAATAAAATCAACACAAAGATAAGTGAAGAGGGAGTTAAATGTATGAATAGACGAATAAATTAGTAGTTACACTACGAATGTTCCCCGGTTATAAAATTAAAATTATTAAAAATTATTAAAATTCTATTTAATTCAGTATCGACGTCTACTATATTGATTTAACTCCTTTGAAATAAGCTTAAAAGTTATGATGGAAACCTTTGTGGGCATGATTAATTTTGTATTCCTCATTGTCAGTGGTAGCCTTCGAATGATTTCAATTGACCTAAATTGCCTAATTCGCATTGTTTATTAAATTGCAATCAAGGAGAAAAGATATATTATCGTTGTTTGTCTTCTCTTTTAAAAAATAAATACTTTAGTGACAGTTATTCATTTCTTTATGTTCACCTGACTCACAGCGATTTGGAATACAAGTTCGTTATTGTCCGAACCTCTCAGAGTTTATCAGTGACGTTAATTCCACTGACACATCTGACTTGCGGAAACCTGGCTCGGCGTGAATTGGATCTGCTACTGTCTCCGGTCTATGTTTTTAATTTATTTTTTTATTTTTTTTATTTTTTTGCCCCTTTCTTCTACTTTTAACCCTTGTAAGCCAATCGTGGCAGACTTGTAGAAATAATAATAGAATAAGGATACTGTCAGTTATTTCATTATTTTTTTTATTACACTGTTACTATTTTACTTTACAGGTGCGTGCAACTGTATTACTTTGTGAAACAGCCGAGAAGAACGAAGTGTTAGTAGGATTTTATTTAGCTTCTTTTAGAAAATATGTGTAGCTAAGTCGTTCGATTCAGAAAAAGAATTATATGTCCATGTATTAAGATATATACAGACATATATCTATTTATAAAATAACTAAGATAGTACGCGCGCTCTGATTGGCAGAGGAGTGTTTGCACGAGAGTATGTAAACATGGTTGTGACGTAAGATGTTTTGCTTTTCGCGCGCTAATCAATCAAAACTCGACAAGTTCACTTCATTTACCCATTCCTTCGTCGGCTGAAACTTGAAAAAAATCTTTACAAACAAGCTGTGTCAACTTTTTTTTTCGCTTAAGCTGACATTTTAAGCGAGAAAAATCCGTATTTTGGAAAGCATTTTTTTGCAAAACAAAAACACTCGAGGGGTTAGGAGAATTCTCGACAGTTATGCAAACCCTCGACTTCGTCTCGGGTTTGCATAACTGTCTTTAATTCTCCCAACCCCTCTCGTGTTTATATCAGGCTATGCAAACACGGAAAACGTTTTCTATTGCTTAAATATATATACTTGTATTCTGGGTAGAACGTATTTCGTAGAGCGCTCAATTCATTTAATTGAAGAGCATTGACTGTTAATAATCACAGGAGTTCAGGCTTCAGGAGTAATCACTGATCGTTTATTGCGACAGTGCTGTTTCGTATGGTCCGAAATTGTAGGACCACACTCATCAGGCAACTTGAACGATTGAACGTTAAAATTAAAAGCTGGCAGTAGGGATGCGTTAAGAGATTGTATCTAGGTAACAGATGGATTGTGTCTTAGTTACGTTACTCTAAGAGTTCTGAAGTACATATCTGTTTCTGTGGGGGCATGAACTCGCTAGTTCGTTTGGCCTGTTTAGGCTACAAAGCTCTTTTGTACAAATGATGATAAACTTTTCATAAAGACAAAGATTACACTTTTTGCTAATGTTGCTATAGGTTTACATTTCTTTAAAACTTTCCATTTTATCTGGAAAGGTTTCTTAGAGTCTTGTAAAGTCCAAATATATTTTGAGAGTTCCGTTTCATTTCTTCTGTTCGAGCGTCGAAAGGAGGACTGATGGTTTCTGTAACCTTCCTTAAAGTTTGTTGCCAGTTCGACGGAAGTTTCAGTTGTCGTCGCTGTGGTTACAGTGGCTTAGTAGATTACATTTGATTGGGTGCATTTTCCTTCGAGTGGACAATCTGGTTTCTTTCTGTAATTGGAGGTGTCAGGTTGTTGCGTTTGTGAGCTAAAATTTGAAAGAACGTACTTGTTGTTGTGTGACGAAATGACAGATTTCATGTTAGGCATGCTTGAGTACCTCAGTTTTAGCGTGTGTTTGTTGAAAATCTTGTGGAAAGGGTGTTTTTTTTGGAGAGCATTTGTCGATGATGTGCAGAAATTTTCTACCAAGGTTAGTTCTGACGTTTGAGTTGAAAGGAGGGTTGTACCATGTGATGTTTCTTGTTCGTTTTCTTTTGTTTTTCAGAGCTTTCTCTTGTGGGGGGTTTTGTGTTAACTTGTGGTCGTATCCGCTTTCTGTTAGAGCTTTCTGGTAAGGGGCAATAGATTCGTCAAATACTTCTTTGCTGGATGAGATGCTAATTAATCTTTTGTTAACGTTGAGTGGGATATTCTTTAGTAGTGCTGGGGGGTGGTTGCTCTGTTGGTGGACATAGGACAGTTTATTGTATTATATTATAGGACACTTTATTAATAAACTGTTCTATGTCCACCAACATCAATATTTTCTTTCAAAATATTTTGCTACGTAAAGTTTAAATAGTTGAAGAGAGTTCACTGTCCACGATGTATTCTTGCTTGGTACGCAGGTTTCTACTGAGAGTTACCATAGCTTTTGTTAAAACTACATTATGATAGCACGATCACTTTAGCGTAAGTCAATAAACCTGATTGGGTCCTTAATGACCAAAATAGATTTTCGAAGCGTAAAGACTCCTGTTGTCGTTTTTTCATTTATCAGGATGATGTAAAGGGGAGACTAATACCAATCCCCCCCCCCCCCCCCCCCCCACCTCAAAAAATTTTTTTTTTTTTTTTTTTTATTATTTTATATGAAAAATTTTTTCACAACTTTTTCTTATAAAAATTTGGTATTTTTTTAACAAACAAACAACAAAATATAAAAAAAAATTTTTTTACCCCCAACACAGAGAACAGAACTCGTGTAGTCAAAACCCAACCCCCCCCCCCCCCCTTCAGACCCTATAAAATATTCTAATTTTTAGTTATTAATAATTAATTAAGGTAAATTTGTCCACACATTTTCCGATTAAAACGTTGCGATTTTTAGAATAATCATACACTGAAATTTAAAAAGATCTCTTTCAGCCCCAAAGTGCTGATTCAGCCCTGTAGGCCAAAGTCTTAAAGCCCTTCCTGGAGCCATTTGAGCCTAACTTGAGCCAAAAGAACCCAATCATGGGGCTATTCCAGCCCACGCCGGGGCCCATTTCAGCCCTTGTGTCTAAATCATCCCGAAGTAATTAGACTGTATTGGCCCTGATTTAAGGGAGAAAAATTAGACTCAAAAATTGGACCGTATTCTACTCACCGAAACAGTCCTATTTTTAGGGCTAAAACAGATCTTTCTGATTTACAGTGTAGTTTGCCAGTTCCTAATTCAAATTCTTGGTACTTACGTTCAGTTGCTAAACCACTATTTTAGTGAAACAGTAGTTGTGCCAATTAATCAAAAGTGCTAACGTAATTTGCCAGACTGCAAAACGTTTGTTAGCTTTCGATACGAATGTTTTCTATTTTCGCTGGGCTTAAAACTCGCTAAAATTTTATATCACAAGGAAATCTGCCGTCCATAAAAATCAATACTAATTATTCAATTTCACTGCTTTGTCTCCTTCCTAGTTCCCAAAGTTAACAATTTTAATACCAAATTTTTATTCTCAATAGAATGGTTAAAGATTAAACAAGGAGAAAGGATTTGTGTTCCCCTAGCAAGAGCAACGTAGTAACTGTTGATGGAAAATAATTTTAAAAAAAACATTTTGCGTGAAAATAGGAAGCATTCGACGAATCAAAAGTTAATTATTATCCTCGTGGACACTAGTTCTAGGTGTTTAAAGTTTTATTTTAAGGACTCAAATAAATGTCTTTTTTGTTAAAAGGTTGAGATTGTTTAATAAGATGAATGTGAATTACTGAAAACAAAGCTTATTCCGTTTTTTTCCAATGAGCAGCCGGACCTCTTAGAGTTACAGCAGAACCTTGATAACTCGAACTCTGATAACCCGAATTCCTTGGTAAGTCGAACTAAATTTCCTTTTCCTTGATCAAAATTGTACAGAAATTTACCCCGATAACTCAATTCCCCGCCTCCCCGCTTTTCGTTTTCCTTCAGAGTTCGAGTTACTGGGGTTCTGCTGTATTTTACATTGAGAGAGCAAATTCTTAAGTGGACATTTGTGCGCATTCTCCTCTTTTGCACCACAAACCAAACGAATTCACGAATTCTAAGGCATGCAAGCCCTCCCCCTTAGAAGAAAATCCTGCAGAGTCCACACAGTTTTGTACCAAACAAAAAAAAACTGTTGGGATGTGGGACCTAATCTTCCTATCCTGACCTATGTTTCGTTTTAAAAATTGCAAGAGTGCTCATCTCGTGGGACATTGGCCTCTCTTATCTTCGTCAAGAGGCATCTTATGTTTGAGACGTCAAACACATTTTAAAGAAAAAAAACTGACTCTTTCCGTCTTCCCAGTCATTTTTGGTTGAGTTGGGCATAAATGCGTCCCAGTTCGCAGCGTCCTTTTTTAACCTCTGAGACGTTTAAGTCGTCTGGTAAGTGCGTCTGAAATCTGAATTCCAACGACGCACTTACTGCACTTTTCATAAACTCGCGAATTCTGAAGTTCAAATGCCAACTGACGTTTGCGTTTTTCGCTGCCGTCAATCATCTTCGCTTACCTCTTAGGAAACAGAAGTTTACTTCAACGAGCTCAAAAGGTCATGGTTTGTGATTAGTGATTGGTGAATTTCGATCCGTTTTCTGTGTTTCTGTGTTTCAAGGTTCGTTGCTTGTGATGGTAATTATGATT